AAGAGTTCTTACAGTCCAAGCATCCTCGCTGATGGGTTAATTCACCCCCTCTTCCTGGATGGTGATTACCTAGGGGCAGACATGCCCCTGGTATTCAGTTCATTAGCGTCATCCCGTCAATAACTTAAAACAGAAGTCAAAAGAAATCTTTGTGATTATCTTTGGCAGACTCCCAAGGAGCTGGAACCCACTTTTTGATTTGCTCTCTGATAGCAAAATAGATACAAATGTCCCCAAGCCGAGACAAAGTACCTACCCTGACCTTCTCTTTCTATTCACACAGAGAGACCAGGGTTTGCAAAAGGCAAGCACTATGAACAATTGGTTAGCTTCAAGGGAATATCCTCGCTTCTGCTACTTGCGCATGGCCACCAGATAAATTCCTCTGTACGTGGCGTTCATAATCTCCTTTCCCCTCCCGCAAGCCAATAATTTTACAAAAGAAACAAGAAGAGGAATTGGAAAAAGAAAGATGACTGCTCTTTTGCTTTGCCAAAAAAAAGAAAAAAGAACAAAAAACAGAAAGACTTGCATTAGAAAAAGTACTAAAACAAGGAGAAATAAGGTATTTGTGAGAGAAGGTGATAGGCTGAAAGCTCCTTACTAATACCACTAAGCACTCCATCCCCAAGAAGGGCAGACTATACAAGCATTGAATTCTAGGACCAACAGAAGTGAAGGACAGACGATGAATATAAGCATTTATAAAAGCCATAGGGAGAATGCAGAATAATTGAGACAGTTATAAGGGATTTCTTCACTACAGTATGCAACATCCTCAAAGACAAAAACTTGTGATATATTCTGAATTGGGCTGAGCAATACCACAGTTGCAGAGTGGGGTAAATCAAATGTCTTTGGCTAATTCATTTTCCTCTTCTATGCTGCCATCAGTGCTGCTGATGTGAGGGTAGACGCCCCTTGTATGGTTTGCTGCTTAAATATGATTATGCAGATAAAGGAGATACAAGTCATTCACTTCAGTAGCCCCTCTCTGGATTTCACTGAATCCTGATCCCTCCCTCTAGCAAGCCCTCAATCTCTCCCTCCACTAGGCCACTGCATTTGGAAGCAATCTGTGGCTTTTCTGTATGTCTTGAAAATCAAATCTCTGCATTTCTGCAGCTCCTCTACCTGAAGATTTAGTTTTCCTCCCTCAGGATACATAATTAAAAAAAAAAAGAAAAAAGAAAAAAGAAGAAGGATGTTAGGCAGACTACACCACAGCCAGTGAGGAAATGCATGCAGAGCCAAGAGGAACAAAGATAACCTCCTTCCATCATACTCACTCTCTGCTAAACAGGAGGTGGGGGCAGCAGCACTTGCTAAAGAAAAAAAAAGCATGTGAGCAGGGGAACAATCAGCACCTTGTTCATCACGCATATCGCAAGTTTTCCCTCCAGGACATTCTGATAGCAGGTATGTGCCCTTACATGCAACTAGGAACTACGCACTGAGTTTTCGAAGTCTTCAGCCAGTGCTTGTCTTCTGTTTTGTCACTGAGTCAATGTTTTGCTCCATCTAAGCTACTAGCATTGGAAGTAATAAGTCCTCACGGCTGGTGCAAATGTAGTGAAATGCACCTAAACTAGTGATTACACATGCTATTAGTAAATATGTCCCCTCCTCTGGCTCTTCTCTTATATAGCCCTTTACAACCCAAGCTATGGGGCTAGCAGTGCTATGCCCCATTTATCAAATATTAGGGTTAATCCTGTTTTTCCTAATGTTAAGTGATAATACCAATCTCAGCAGTAGAACAAGAGAATCCAAGCTCCCCAGCATGCAGGTGACGTTTGGGACCCTGCATCATCTTCAGTGGGCAAGTTCAAAACTGCTTTTTAAGAAATCCTCATTTCATCCAATAGTTCCTCCTGCCAAGAATTCCAGTAGCATACTAGGTCCAAGTTCCCCACTCAGCAAGAAATACATAAGGCCTAAGGAAAAGACATGCATAGTTCCTGCTAGTAAGCTTTTAATATTCTCCCAATTATTACTGGCACTCTCGCCAGAAAATATGCACTGGTAGCTCTGTACCAGCTGCAAATAATGCCATGAGCAGAAGAAATGTATTTGGGTTTCTAACGGGTATTGTCACATTGAAAAAAAAAAAAGGAGGCATGACTTAACCATGTTCACAAAACCACATTCTAACCCCCTAGTGGGGGGATCAGCCTTGGCAGACAGATCTGTAGAGGTGGCTGAAATAAGGTTTTTGATATTCTTTTTTTCCTCTCTCTGCTTGGACTTCTTTTTCTTTTCCTATCGCACCAATTGTCCCAGAGACCAAATGCTTAAGACTTTATCTCCCTTCCGTATTATTGAGGGTGTCAGTTCAGAATGGCCTGCCAAACCATTTGCCTAATGGATACAATACAATTAACTTCATATATGAAGTAAATTACTTCTGCTGAAATTAATAGGCTGAGAGCATACCAAGAAACACAGTGGGTAAGATAAATCCATTAACTATCCACTTTGTAACTACAGAATTTAAAATTTTATCTATACATCTGTCAACTCATGCGTTCACTTTGAGACACATCACGCTGTCAGTTACCCACTAAGTCCAAGCTTTTTCATAAGCTATGGAAAGATGGCTGAAGCATGCTTCAAATCCTGCAGTTACGGTAAAATCAAAATCTTTCGGGCTTCAGCTTCAGAAATCTCTAAGCACACAACAGGAGCATCGCAGAGCTTGCCAATGCAATCTGTGGATTAAAAGCCGTTCGTCTCATAGATGATATGAACAGTTTTGATATAAGGAGCAATGCTCACTTAGATAATGAGGTTTCTTCTCTTGCCATTGTGTAACTGATTTGAAAGAAACAAAGCTATGGAGCATACATGGTTACACCAAACCTGACTCACTAAAACATCCATCAAATCCACTATGACTTCTCTTCAACTCATTTTGGGATGTTCCTGGTAAGGGGAAGAAATGTACACTTTAAAATTTAATATATATTTTTTGGCTTTTTGTTTAGTAGCAAAGCTATACAATTGCTGGCAGCCAGTCTAAGGCCTACTAAAAATGAGGAATATTAGGAAGAAGAGAAAAAGTGTGAAAATTTTTCGAAGTTTTTTTCTACTTGTTTCGAAATGTTGAAAACAGTCAAAATTCTGAAATTTTTGGTTGTCTCCTTGGTCTGAAACAGATTGGAAGCAGAGCTGAAGCTTTCTCTTACTTTTTAGGAGTATTTACATTTTATTCAGATTCGAAAAATTTTGATCAATTCCTAAAAACAAAGCCTTCAATTACTCTGCTCTGTGGTTAGCAAGCTAATCGTTACTATCACAAATAACATTGTAAGCTAAATATTTGAATTGCGCACTGCACAATAAAGGGGTGTTAACTCCTAGTTCTTTTTCAAAAAGAGCCATACTAACCAGAGAAGAAGGGCTACTCTAGCGTCAGTCTTGTTAGAAAACACCAATTACTTTATTTCTAAGGACTGCAAGAGGAGAACATCACTAGATTAAATGCTACTGCTATGTTTGTTACAGGAACATTCCAGGAACAGAAAAGGGTGCAAAAGAAATGCAGACAGGCACTTACGTGAATGAGGGATGCCTGCGGTTTTCCCATGGATGGAACACAGACAAAAAAAGAAAACACAAAGATAGAGAAAAAAAAAAAAAACGTAAAAGAGATGAGAAGAGGAGATAGAGATCATGGAGCTGCTTATGCAAACCACCACACCAGCTGTCCCGAATGCAACCCTACGGAGTGGGATGGGCAACAGGAGTTATCACAGCAAACTGCACATCTATTGGGAGCGCCGTCTTGTTGTCCATGCCCTAGATTTCCAACCAACAAGGCACATGTGCTGTCCCACATTGCTCAGCAGCTCTTGTAAGGCAGAAGTTGGTAGACCAAGTTAAGATCAGACACAACTCTGAGGGCCTCAAAGCATGCACATCCATGGGCCAGGAATACTGCTAGCTCTGAGCTCAGGGCAAGGTCCTATAGAGCAGTTTCAAAAGACCTATGAGGTTTGTGAAGCATAGGCACGACAGCAGGAAGAAGAATAGACACTAGATTTAAATGCAAAAGGAATGGAGCCAAAGAACCCCAGGAGTTTTGGCAGGTTCATTAGGGATCCTAAATATTTGGGTGAGGTGTTGTACAATGGTTACAGATGCCCTCCCGTCACTGCTTTTGTCGTGTCTGTCCTACCACACTTCTTTTCCTTTCTCCCTGTCTCTTCTTCCAGTCCAAGACTCTCTCTTTTTGATTCTTGCCTCCCTTTTCCTGGTTGTTAACAGGAGGGAGTGTTCGGCCACAGCAGAGCATTCTGTCTTTGGAGTGGAAGATTGTGCAAGTAAAGCAGACAAGAGGCCCTGGAAATCCAACTTGTGTGCTCAGTAAGGCAGTACTTCGCAGAAAAGAGAAATCCCCTCTGCCTTCCTGCCTTTCTCCACAGCTCATAGGCACTCCTGTGACAAATCTATCAATTGGTAATTTGTGGGGGCGGGGGAGAAGTCTGCTTTGTAACAATGAATAGATTTTACATTCTCTATGACCACATACTTCTCAACACACTGCTTGTTTGCCTTATCAAAACATTGCTGAACTCTCCAATGCACAATTCCAACCTTTTGACAATACAAAATTTACACTAGTAGCTCAGGGAACAGACTAGTGCAGATAGCTCCTGTGCCTCCTACCTTCAAGGAAGAGTTTTAATTAGTGAGGATATTCACTGCAATCAAAACCACAACAAACAAAGGGTGCAGACGGGTCTGCAATAGAAGGTGACATCCATGCATGGTAGATTTTCCCTGGAAAGATGCAAGGAAAGAGCAGCAAAGAAGCAGAGGCAGGTCTCAGCATTACTTACGAACTGGCTGTGTCTTAAAGTCGGATGGCAGGCTAATCTCACCCACACCCTTGCCATTGACTGCAGAGAGTCTCACCGAGTAGGTTGTCTCAGGTTTCAGGCCAGTGATGGTGATCATGCCCTCCACACTGGCTGTTGCAGAAACAAGGGAGGAAAAGCAGAAAGAAAGGCTCAGGCCTGAGTTAACAGTAAACGCAGTATTTCTATCACATTCTGCCCCTATTGCCTCATGTAACTGAGCCCTCTTCTGGGCCCCATCTCAGAGAAAACAAAGCACACAACAAGAAAGCCGAGCCAGCACACCTCTGTGTGAAACAGAGGTGAGGACATGGATGGCACTGCCACAGAGGGGAAGGCTGCAGAGCTTGGAGCGGGCACCACGAGGAGTTGGCCTCTGGCCCATACCAGGGAGCTCCTCGATCACTGTCTCAGGTGGCTCTGGTTGTAGCATACATAGCATTCCCAAAACTGACCATCTCTTGGGCCGGATGATCCAAGCCTGAGCTCCTTCAGGGAGGACAGCAAGCGGCCTTCAGAGGCTGCTGGCAAGTTTAAAGGCATTAAGCACTCAGGTGGGGCCAGGACTCCTACAACAGGCAGGAGTCTCACCCTCTGGATGCAGAGGGACACATGGCTGCTTGGAAAAATGCATGGTGAAGGCAAACACGATGAATCCAGCTATGTCCAGGTACATATAGCACAGGGGAGCCCTCATTTTTGACTGGGAATGTAAGGTGTCACTGCAAAGCAAATGTTAATAAACTGCTCAGAGTCTTTAATTTATGTTCTGAGCACGCACATCATACATGCAAAAGAAAAGTGAATGGCAAGTCCAGTCTGGAGGTTTAGGTGAGTTAGCAGACAGCTGCTCTGGTCAGAGCGGCTTCAGAGTATTATTAGCACACTGATAGCAATGGGATCCTGTAAGATCCTCAAAGAGGTGCTGAAGTTACAGGTATGGGAACTCTCCTCTGCCGCTTCCTCCTACAGAAGAGAAGAGTCTCTGGAAATGCAAGAAGAGGGGGGTACCATCTTTCTTTGGTATCCTACCTTCTTTTGCATCATACAACCTGGAATGCCATTCTCCCTCGCCCAGGGCCCTCCACTCTGCTTTGTACTTGAGGATGGGCACCCCGCCAGTAGCTTCAGGCTCATCAAACTCCACCTGGGCGGTACTGGAATAGGGCTCCACTCTGTCAATGGAAGGAGAGGACGGAGTATCTGGGGGAGGAAGGGAAAGGACCAATGATATAGAAGACAAAGAGCAACAAGGACGCCCAGCTCAAGTGGCTGAAAGAAAACAAAACCACAGGAAGCTCTAAAACATCCTTGTCATGATCGCATACATAAAGGGGAAGAGAGTGTAGACACGAGGTTTCTTTGGAGGGCTTGTAAGAATGCTCATTATGCAGTATGGAGGCCTTCACCGTCTCTCTCCTTTAAGAGGCTAGAGATGACCTTCTTCAGTATTACACATTTTCTTTAATAAAACAGGACAACCTGAGCAGGGCAATCAGCAGCAAAAACACCTGGGATGCTGTTCTGCCCCTGCAAGTCCCTTTCATGCGGCATTCCAAATCAAAGTTCACCACTCCTCAATCTGTTTCTCTGGCAGCACTGCCAGTTTAAGGCAACAGGGGCCCTCTTAAGTCTGTCAGTAAGTCAGACAGAGGACTTTTTCCATTGGTACGTACTTCCGAGGTGTCTACCCTGCCACTACTCTGCTTATATAGGATATTTTGCTAAGCTGGAGAAGTACACATACATACACATATGCAATGGCTATCTAGAACTGAAAACCACGGCTCTGTCAAAGTGCTTGGGCGTACTGGAAATGCAGAAACAGCAAGACCCTCCAGAGACAAGAGCACCAAGAGAGCAAGGATCATGTTGTCTTGCGTGTTACTAACCAACACAGATGACAGCAGAATTCCTATCTGTCACCCCAGCTCAAAGGCTGCCTGTGCATTTCCTCATAGCCTGTCTGGGATGCTCACCTGCCTGCACAAGGATGAACTCTGAGGACTCCTGGCCAATGCGATTCACAGCAGTGCAGTTATAGTTTCCAAAGTCATTTTCAGAGTCTGGTGTCACCTGGGGGAGGAAGGAAGGAAGGAAGGTACTTGGATCAGAAAGCCATTTTCACTCTACCGATGCCCTTTGCATTTTGCTGGGATGGGAAGCAACAATAAAGTAACTGCACTGACACTCTGAAGGCTGTCCATGACGTGCAAAACCACGGCAGGCAGAAGGGTAAAGGCAAGGAGGAACCGGCGTCTTCTCTTATCTGGTTCTCTTAGCATTCTTGTGCCAGAAGCAACATGCAACTTTCCACCTGCTAACAGGGAGCCCTGACAGGAGACTGAACTCCTTCAGCATCAGGTACGTATGTCACCTAATA